AACTACCGCCCCGTGTCGCTAAAATGACAGCCAGAAGACGCTTCGTGATGGTATGGAGTAGCCCTTCAGCTCTTGACCGGAACCGGTAATGTACCCCTGGTGTTTTACTCAAGGGGCTCCTTGCCCGCAGGGAAAAAGGAGCCTCATTATTGTCGAGTAGAGTGGAGGTCTCATTATTGTTGAATAGAGTAGATTGAGATGAATCTAAAAAACGAACAAGGCCATCCCATGTTTACCTAAGGACGTTCATTTTTTTTTTCAGAATGAATTAGTGAAAACAGTACATCAAAATATTTGAACACGCCCGCCCGCAACCTCGATGGTAAGGAGAGCGATGGTCTGTGTTGCAGCTTCCGTAAAACTGAACGGCGTCGGTCACTGCAAGTGCCGCCAGACGGCGGCCGCCGTGCTAATCTGTCTTCTGGACAGATTAATAGTTACAGGAGCACGAAAAATAGAGGATCTGCCTTTACTCTTCCAGTTCCGCCACCAGATTCCAACACAGCTTCGAGGTGCTTTAAGGGCCAGTCCGTTCTTATGATCAGTCTAAAAATCGCACACGTGAAATATGCGCCCGGACTGCCCTGTAGATGTAATATGTGATGTCCTGAAACGTTCAAAGGTACTTCTTTCAGAGGTGTTATCATTTTCGTCCACCCGTAGGCCACGGCTCAGTATTAGCTGTTGAGCCGTCGCTGCGCGGTCTACGGAGATTGCAACGTCTCGCGTCAATGTTTTTTTAAACTAAGATTTGCGAGTACGCATGCTCAAAATTATGCCACATAGCTTTTATTAGTAAACGATGCAAGTGTTTTGAGGTAACTATTTCAAAACCGTTATCATGTTCGTCCACCGGTGGACTGTGACGAAAAGTTAACCACTAGAGCTCCGCGGACTGTTGGGACTGCAACGCCTGGTGCCGAGGTTTTTGTTGCGAAGGTTTGCGAGCGCGCATGTTAAATACCACGTCATATAAATTGTATCACTAATTGATTCTGACTGAATGTTAAACATTTCCAGACGAACGAGGCTTGGCAATGTTAGCGCACGTGGTTGACCACTCGATCTGCAATTAAAACTTTCACCCTAAATATTCGATCAAACATATCGATCTACGATCTGCCTTCGCGATGTCCTCAATGTCTGTAGAACGCAGATAAAACATTATGACAACGCTTCTGAATTCTATCGGTTTAGAAAGAGTTCACTAAGCCGTCGCGAATTAACGATCCCGGTGATTTATTCCATGTAGTCGTTAAACGCCTGATTGCTGCAGTTGATTGACATTAACACTCGCTCGGATGAGGGTCAAATTGACTCGGCCCCCGAAGTTTTTTCCACGATGGTTTCAGCACGGCGGGGCCCAGCCGCGCCATGTTTTGCATAGCTGTAGACAATTGAATAGCGGATTGCTTGGCATATACAAATTTAGATGTACTTTGTAAGGTCGCTGACCTATGGCAAGTCTAAAGTCAGGCCATCGTTTCAGCGAAGTCAACTTCCAGGGAATCGTTAAATTTGATTGCAACAATACAGTGTTAGACGAAACCATACATTTCTGAGATGCCTTCTTAGGAACACAAACATTGGATGAGCAAATGAAGTTGACCTAAGGTCAGGTATAAAGGTCAGATCAAGGTAAAAACCAACCTGGTTTATTACTCTGGGGCTTGCTGTATGACACAGTTTCTGGTGCTCATTTCGAATTCATCAATAGCAGGAACCGCATTATACATCGTCCATGGACCTCTTACAGGTCAGAATAGGTCATTGACCTAAAATGACCTTGGTCATTATTTTGTTTTTAGAAACCTACTGGCTTTCGTAATTCTTGTCGCTTATTCAAATGCAAAACTCAGGGCAGTCTTGTATGATTTTGGTCATCATGACCATCAGAAGGTCCAACAAGATCACTGACCTTAACTAAACATGTGATCTTTTGCTTAGTAACAGTTATCTTCCAGTTATCTTCCAGGTTATGAGGGCACTTTAGAGGCCAATTTGGCATTTGACCTTGTTCAACCTTATTTGACCCGAAAGTCGTGACCTAGAAACCTCAGACCTTGACCTAAGTGAGTTCACGTACAGATCAACACACCCTGCAAATTTGGTGTCTCTAGATTTTTTAGTTACCGAGATCTCAGGGGGTCCAAACTGACCCCCCACCCGAGCGAACAGCATCTAGCCGGCCATCTGGGCGCGTGTTAAAAATGCAAACAGAATTGATTTGACGGTAGCTTTTGCTTTATGTTCTGGTTACAACGCAACAGTAACAATGAAACGAAGCAAACCGCATCCCTGTTAACAAGTAATCTATATCCGGAGATTTTTGTGGGGTGTCACCATAAAGGGGGCTTTTGTCAATCCAGTGTTCCTCTTAGCAAGGCCCTGGTTACCCCCTGCCTTCACACAAAAGTAAATCAAGCCATCTACTCCCAATAACGGGCAATGAAATGTTTGTTGGGCCAATTCATACCTAAAGTAGGGAGCTTCCCGTTGGCATTTTTCTGGGGTGGTGTGATGTAAGGGAAGATAATTCGGAAAAAGGTACCGCTGCAGGTGTCCAACACATGTTTTACATCCCAACTAGTAGCAATGCTGATCCAGAAATGTGCAACGAAGCAACCATATCATTAGTTCGCGGTCAGTCATTCGGAGACAGCCGGGGCAGGACAGTGGCCACCGACGGCTGGACGGGAGCAGGGGCTCAAACAAGCAATATATGACAGAACGGCCTTCATTCTGTGGCTTGGTTTTCAAAGGACAATCTTCAGTTCTACGGCTTTTGTCACCCTGGTTTTTGGCAGTTTGAAGCCTGCGAATTTGTTTCCGCCTAAAATGCCGCGACAAGTCTTGTCTCTTGAAAAGCATCCAGGGAAATGAAGGCGCATGCAAAATATGTTGTACTGTGAGCCATCGATTCACTTTTAAAATTCTCACCAGCCTATGCTCAGGCCATATTTTGGCATCTACCCTGCGGAGACTAATGCGTCCTCGATGACCCAAAATGCCTACCCGCTCGTGGAATTTCGGCCCCTCAGGAAAGACAACGTTGAAATGGACGAATAATCTGTGGGAAGTGGATAGCATTAATTCCAGAATGACTAAGAGCCAGATAGGCAACAGTGTGCACTATTGAGAAACAGCTCTAGATGCGTATCCATAATAGCAGTCATTACATCTAAATAAAGAGCGATAATCTCCATCTCTCATCAACCGCATCCCTGTAAACAAGTAATCTATATCCGGGGATCTCCGATCATCGGAATTGTTTTCCAGAAAAAGTTCCTGAAGTACGCCCTGAGCTTGCCCCCCCCCCCCCCCCCCCCACTTTTTGATACGTTCCTACGCCAGCGGTGATGATGATGATGATTTGGGTTTTGGGGCGCACAACTACGTTAGCCATATGACTCCCATAACCTACTTTTTATCAAACAGTTGCCTGAAAAGCGGGGAGATAAGGTTTCGTTCGATATATGGCATGGATTTGTATGTCTTCAAGATAACTAAAAATGTGACCGTCATTTACTGAGCTGGAGTCATCTCCCAACATACCATAGAGCGTTTGACGCACGGACCCAGATCCAAAATGGCGCATACATTCCGAGGCGAGGTGGGCACAATCTGTCAAGACATGTCGTTCGGTGTAACCATCCCCGCAGCGAGGACGCCGCGGTTGGTCTTCCCCGCATAACAGGCATCGGTGAGTTGCGTATGTGTGTCCTATTCTCAGACGGCATAGCGTCATTCCTTCCCGCCTCGCCTTACGACAGCTGGACGCCCATGGTCTCAACCGGGGCTTATCTCCCTCAGTTTATTGGCAGCATGCACATCCCAATTCGCTTGCCACTGCTTCAACATGAAGGCAGATACCACTGCATACAGGTCGTCAGCGGGGAATGTCATAGTAAGGATGCCAGATGTGGCACACCTTGCTGCGGCATCAGCTACTTCACTATCCGATGTGCCAGCGTGGCTTGGAATCCAGCAGAATACCACCTGTTTCCCGAATCGCGACAGGTGAAGTAAGAAGAGTTAAAATGTTATGAACGATGGAATGTGATGAATCCAAGTCTTGCAGTGCCATAAGGCTACTAAGAGAGTCCGATAAAACTAAGTGTTGGTCGTCGCTGTCAACTTCTAGAGTGTTTTAAGAATAGGCTATTAGCTCGGATGTGAAGACCGACGCGTGACCAGGCAAAGCAAAAGACCGTGTGATAGGACCTTGCACAAAAGCACCTCCAACAACGGCATCTGGTTTTGAACCGTTCGTGTAGGTCTTCTTGTGATCCGGGTATGGCGCAATCAACTCCAAAGACATCAGCCGAAACTCATCCGGAAACACCTGCCTCTTCTCGAAATGAGAAAGTGAGACATCTACCGCTGGTGGATAGAGCTTCCAAGGAGGGGCCTCGGGAATTTCATAACGAATCACGTGCCGTGTGCGAATGCCACACTCGTGTAAGAGCATGAAAATCCTCACACAGAAAGGTGCGATCTGATGTACTCTCCCAGTCAGAAACATGCGTATTGTGCGGCGAGAGAAGACCCACTTGTATGTTGGGTGATCGGGAAACTGCGCCAACTTACAGGCGTATCTCATGCCCAGTATCTTTCTCCTAGTGGATAAAGGGGGCTCGTGGGCCTCAACAAGGGGGCTCGCTGTCGGAAAGGTCCTGAATGCACCTACTGCGATACGTAAGGCAGTACGACGTATGGTGTTCAATGAGCGCTTTATTGGTTCACAAGCGTCGTCATAAACAAAAGAAGCATAGTCGAGTTTGGATCTGACAAGAGTGCGATAGAAGAGCTAGAACGTTTTCCTGTCCGCACCATATGATGTGTGTGCAATGTACTTCAGGACATTCAGGGTTTTAAAACACCTGGTTCGCGATGCCTTTAAATGGTCTTTGTAAGTAAGGCGACGATCAAATTGCACGCCTAATAAACGGACCACGCCGCGATACAGTCGCCGCGATCGCCGCGATACAATCGGATCGCTACATCCTGGTAGCGACCACAACGGCGACAAAAGCGCACACCCACCGTTTTCAACGTGGAGAAACGAAAACCATTCAGCGTGGCCCACCTCTCCAGACGAGCTACAGCTAATTGCAACCGACGTTCCATCGCTGAGGTCAGAGAAGAGCTGCACCAGATTGCAAGATCGTCGACCAACAACGAGCGACCAATAGACTGAGGCAATGCGTCTCCGACGTCATTGATCATGAGCGCAAAAAGCGCGACACTTAAAACGCCACCCCGGGGCACACCACTCCGTTGTAAGAAACGATCAGAAAACTGATAACCAACACGGACGCGAAAAAAACGTTCCGCTAAGAAGTTCTGTAAAAAAAGCCCATGTTACCACGAATACCGTGCTTAAAAGCCTTCATAAGTATACCATGTTGTCATGTGGTATTGTAACCGCCCTCTATGTCAAAGAACACAGCTCCCCCATGGCGACGCTGTTAAAAAGTAGCGCGGACAACAGTTTCCAATGTAAAAAGATGGTCCAGTGTGTAAAGGTGTTTCCTAAAACCACACTGAGAATCAGTCAAAATGGGATGTTTCTCTGAAAACCACAAAAGACGACCATTGACGAGTCTCTCCATCAGCTTGCACAGTGAAGGCGTAAGAGAGATGGGCCTGTTGTGAAGCGGACCGTTGCCGCTCTTACCTGTCTTTAAAAGGGGCACCACAACAGCCTCTCGCCAAATGTTTGGAAATTCATCTCGTCCCCAAAGACGATTAAAAATGGCCAAAAGAACGTTTAGTACGCAGATGGATAGATGTCGAATCATGTCGTTATGTATCTCGTCAGGACCCTCTGATACGCCCCGAAGCCTGCTAACAGCTGCCCTCAGTTCCACCATTGTAAGTGGTTCGTTGTAGGCAGGGTGTACAGAGGTGGAAAAGTCCACTGGACTGGCCTCACAACGCGCATTATGACGCAGGAACTGGGGATCAACGTTACTGTCTCCAAAATATTCCGCAAGCGCACGACCGATCTCGTTAGCGACGTCAGCAGGCTGCAAAATGTTCCGCCCACCAATCTCAAGAACCGGTGGAGGACCTGCGGAAAACTGGCCAGAGATATGCTCAATCTGCGACCATACTTGCGACATAGGATTGACACGATTTAGGCGTCCCACATATTCTTGCCAGGATACGCGCTTTGCCTCCCGGATGGTGCGCCGGGCCAAAGCACTCGCTTTCCTAAATGCGATTAAATCATCGGTTGCGGCGTGGCGGTCGAAGGCCCGAAAGGCCCGCCTACCTGCCCGGATCACAGCTCGGCACTCTTCGGCCCACCACGGCACCGGGGTGCGACGAGGAGCCCCAGATGTCTTTGGGATGCTTGCGCTCGCTGCACGTCAAAGCGCGGGCGTGAAGCGTTCGATCGAGTAGTTTGCATCATCCACGGCCTGTGCACCAAAGCCCATCTCTAGCTGAGACTCAAACTCACTCCAATCTGCTTTTTTGAGATTCCATCGTCGTGGTCGGGGACCGAGAACCGCTCCGTCGTAGTACTCCAACCACACTGGGAAGTGGTCGCCTCCCATAGGGTCGTCGGCTATAGTCCGCGTAAAAAGCTGCGCGAGCTGTGGACTCACAAGGCTTAGGTCCAAAACCGACGTCTGACCTGACGGTAACGTAAAATGCGCCCTAGATCCCGTATTCAATGCACAGAGCGACTCCTCGTGAGTAAATTACTCTAAAGAACGTCACCGCGCGTTGCTGTCATCACAACCCCAAACGGTATGGTGTGCGCTAAAATCTCCCAAGATAACCAAAGGCGGGGGGAGCTCTGCCATCAACTGTCTGAGCCCCAAGATAACCAAAGGCGGAGGGAGCTCTGCCATCAATTGCCTGAGCCCCAAGATAACCAAAGGCGGAGGGAGCTCTGCCATCAACTGTCTCAGCTGCACCAATGAAAAACTGAGCCCCGGGGTAAATACACTGCGCATAGGGTTACAAGGCGATTAAAATGTACACGTGCAGCAACAGCTTGGAGCGAGGTTTGCAACATCAGCTGCTGCGCAGGCACACTGTGGTGCACTGCTGACAGCACACCACCGTGCGCCACAGTGTCTGGTAGCACATTTTTTCCAAATATTGAGCAACCTTTGATGGTGCAGTGAGAATCCGGCGACAGCTTCGTCTCCCGGAGGCAGACCACAACCGGACAACGGTGACTAAGCACAGCGTGTAAGTCCTGGGCACTGATTCGTAAGCCTGTACAGTTCCATTGCAGAATAGCCTGCATAAAACCTGGTTAAAAATGAAGCTGAAAACTACGAAGCTAAGAACAAGATGGGCTGCGTTAAAAGGTGACATAAAACTGTTACGGATTGTAAAAAGGACTAAGCTGACTAGAAGTGTTCCGTTGCACCAGACGAAGGGCCCGGTCCCGTATCCTCCAGTCCGCCCCGGGGGCCCGGGGCGGAAGGAGGATATGACCGCCTCGGAGAAAACGGCGAGGTCGCCGTGGGGGGGGGGGGGGGGGGGGAGGGACTGAGCAGGCGCAGCGGAAGGCGGAGGAGGCGGCGGGGGTACCCATTCGGGACGGAACAAGCGGCGGCCCAACGTGCTTGCTAGGCGTGGAAGCGCTCCCTCCCAAGGAGGACGGCACCCCATCAGCCACCGCAGAGGATGGCGCACCGCCAGCCACCGCCGGCACCGACGCCCCGGCGGACTCCAAGGGAGAAGACTTCTCGCCGTCCCCCACCGGGGCCGAGGAATCGGTAGTCCCGGGGACCGCCTGGCCACCCTCGCCTGCTCGACCAGACGCGCTCGCCTGGCCCCGCGGGCCCTTCTCACCACGTTCACGCAAGGCCTCCATCACTGTCTCGCTAGGTGAAGTTCGGTTCACAGTTGGGGGAGGCGCCGTGGTCGGCACAGTGGTCGGCGCCTATTTCCCAGAACGTGTCTGATTTGCTCGGGAGGGGCGCCCCTCCCGACCCCGACCAACCAGAGTCCACCCCTCGCCCTCCAGTGTCTTGCCGCAGCTACCGGCGGTGCGGTGGGCGCCGCGGACGCAGACGAAGCATGCGAACCCGTTGCCGGTCTGCAAGTCAACCCAAATGACTGGAGAAGTGCGATAAACTGCGTCAAGTTCATACGGTCCGAGCTGGCCTCACGATGAACCACGTTTGAGTGGGAGCTAGTCGCTACACTCGCGTAAGCTACTTTGGGATGCGAGCTATGGTAAATCTCCCTCTCTCTTCTCTCGGACAGAGATGCGCCGGGCGCACTTGATGGAGATAATCTCTTTCTTTCGAGAGTACGCCGAACAAGCACGGTCAAATGTCGTGCGCAGGATCTGGTTTCTGTCGCAATTCACACATTTCTGTCGCACAGCGCTGTAGTTCTCGCTAGTATGGTCAGTTTCAGCACACTTCCCATAAGACGGTTTGTTCCTGCAGTACTCTTGTATGGACAAAACGAAGACATCAAAAACAACGCATGGGGTTGGGAATGTACAGACGAATTTTCACTTTCACGTAACCGACGACTTTTTTGAAGGAAGATCCACGCGGTTGAAAGTCGGGATAATAGTGTTTGTTGGGACCAGGTGCTCCGCTCTCCTGACCTGGATCCGATGAGCTTCCACGACACCGAAACCAGACAGACCATTCATGATATCCTCCTCGCTGACACCCTCCAGGTCAACACAGTCAATGATCCCGCGAGAACAGCTTTTCGTTTTGTGAGCCGTCACCATGATGGGTAAAGTGACGTCTCGCCTTCCATCTTTATCTCTGACCGTGTATGTGAATGGCGTTGCCTTCATCGTCTTTTTGGCTTCCGCTGCATTCAAAAACTCCACTTCGATCGTTTCATTTTAAGCTTGTCACAGCGCGTCAACTTACCAAGCCGATCACATCCGCTACGCCGCTGAAAGGGCGACAGACTAGACAGATCCTTTTCACTACTGGCAAGCACAAGAACCCGGGAGCAAGACCGAGCAGTCTGCCCGGTAGTCCCCGGTACTCCCACTCTCCCACCTCTAGTCCGCTCCAACGGGGTGGAGCGGGAATCAGTCCGTGGCAGCGGTCTTTCACCCGTGCCGGAAAGACCGCTTCGCCCCTCCGCCGAAGGGGAGGAACGGTCGTCCATCGTCGTCAGCCGAGCCGTCTGAGATAAGGTGTCATTCCCATTGGGGTTGGTAGAATGAAAATGCATGCGAGTTTTTGAAGCATACGGCACCGGGGCTCCCCACCCACCACGGAGCCCAATTGGGGGACGGTCCAACACTACCTCGGGAGGAGGTCATCGCCAGGGCTACCCCGGTGCTATACGGGGCGAACAACACCTCCCACACGGCCAGGTGTACCCGGGAGGACCCCTCCCCGCTCTGACCGTGGTCCAGCGCCGCCGCCCCCTGACCCCTTAAGCCGCTGAGCGCGGTCAGGCGCCTCAAGCGGAGACCCGCGAGGAGTTCCCAACCGCAACGCGAGCGACAAACCGCTAGACCCGTGTGGGGCCCCACGGCCCCCCCCACACCCCCGGATATCCTGGCTGAAGTGGAGTGTTGGGACGCGCCGCGACTGACCCTCACGACGCGTCCCTCAGCCACCAGGATCCGATCAACCCGGGGTCGCGGGTGAGGGGGCACGGCGACCCCGATAAACGAGGTTAGGAGTGACGAGTGGGCCGGATGCTGGAGAGCGGGTAATGGGGGGGGGGGGGGGGGAAGCAGGCGGGACAAGGAGCGGGGGCTCACGTACCGGCAGGGTCGCTACGCCCTGGGAGGAACAGCCTACGCTGTCCTACCGGATTCAGCGCTACCGGAGCTGGACCCGAGGGGGCGCTAGTCCCCTACACCGACCGAAACCGGTGCCCCCGCGGGGCCTAATCCTGTGGGAACAGGTATCTTGATAAATTGTCAGCCAGTGCTGCAGTGTGGTTTCGATGAGATGGAGGGCATGACGAGTGCGTTTTTCTCACGCACACTGTAAAAAGGGACGGAACATCAATAAATGATTGTTTAAATGGTCGGAAAACGGGATAAGGAAGAACTCGCGCAACGCGTAAGAAGCGCACTTATCAGCTACGAAGTTGTGACATATGGTAGCGTTCTCTGAATATTTCATGATGTCATTATTGCAGAGCGCCCCGAATATGGCTTAAATTGACAGTTTCATGACACAAAACCCACTTAGATTACCTTTCGGGGTTTTGTTTTTTCATGATACTCCGTGTCTGTCATGCAAGTACTTTATGCTTGTTGAATGGATTCACGGTAGCATCGACTCATTTTAAGAGCTGCCAATTTTGCACGCTTTCCTGGCGCCCTGAATGGTTTTGCAGAGGCCAGCCATCAATAAGTGGTGCCAGTGAATTAGTTAGGTTGCCTGCGGTCTTTTAATTGATGTTGTCAGCGATTGATCAGCGGCGGTGCGCCCTTGTACTGAAGGGATAGTGTATACCGAGGTGAGTGGCAGGGAGCAAGAAAACCTTAAGGAACAAGCCGCCGGAGGAACAGTGGTTCCAGCTTGGAAGGTGGGCTGATGTAATATAGTTTTTTCGGTAACTTAAGGGGATTCTGACTGTCTTGGTCCCGCAATGTCCAGGCTGTGGTCATTTCCAATCATCGCTTGTACAAGTTGATACTCCTCAGGAACACTTCAACATTCACAGACAGCATAGCTAATGTGTATGAGACATTGACAACTTTGACAACATTGAAAGTTTTTCAGCTGATAAGTCAAGGTCACTTGGCCATGCAGGTAAAATATTAGGCTGTTATTGCCCCTCCTGTTTTGCTTTGCTACTCTAAGGTGGCAGGTGGATGACTGGTTGCCTGTCACCTGGCAGTGGTGTTGTGAAGGAGGTGGGTTGTGGTGACCTATGCCAGCCACGTGTTGGGTCCTTGCCTCTTCATTCTCAACTGAACAGCTTTCTCAGTTGTAGTTCAGAAATGACCACTGATCCCAGCAAGAATGGGTGTAGGAAGTTATTCCTGTGCAATGGACCAAATTATGGTTAGGTTTTGCATAACAGTAGTCTATTCTGCTTTTTAAAGTGAAGTACAGCATCACACTATTTACAACTCCTTCCTATCAGATATCCCACACATCCAGCTCATGCTTGATTGTCTTGTGTTGCACTCATTGTGGCATGCCTTTGGATGTGGTTGTCATTAATGGAAATGCACCAGGATCATGTT